CATTTATCTATTGCCACTAGAATGTATGCATATCTATTTAGTTCGTCTGGTAGGGGCCCCGCAAAATCTAATTGTACTTCCTCATTAGGTTCGACCACCGGTTCCATTTGGAATGACAGATTTTTGCCTAGGATGGGTTTTAAATTTTTACCTTGCTCCGTGCACTGTTTACAGTTTTATGCCATCTGCACAATTGAGCGATGATGTGCGGAAACCAGACATGTTGGCTCAGATCCAACATGGCTGCCGATCCCGGGTGTGTGAGATGAAGGCTATCCAGTACTGTTTGTCGGAGCTGCGAAGGAATTACGATCCTTTCATCGACGAGAAGGCAGTCCTCTCGAACATGGAGACGATTTCGTATATTGAACCAGTACTGTCCGTTTGAAGCTTTGATGGCATCCCAGTCCGGCTTTTTCACGAAGTTTATCAATGGGCGCAAGTTTCTGTCTTTCTTGGTGGCGGCAGCAATGAATGGGATTTCCAGCACTTTTTGCAGTTTACGCCGAAATAAAGGTGTGTCCTCCTCCGTTTCAGTGGCTTTCTCCACAGTTGCCACCACGGTGTCCATTACTTCTGTGTGACTGGCCTCGAGTTGTAGTGAAGTAGTCTTTGTCGGGGGTTCCACGTTGGGTGATGTCTCCTCTTGTAGGCATACATTAGGATCTTCGCGGCTGACATATATTTCTTGTTCCATCGGCGTATTTTCGGTGTTGCTACTTGTTTGGGTTGATGTGGATGACTTCTTCTTTTCCATCTCGTTTTGCAGCGTTGTTTGTGTAGCTAATGTTGCGTGAGTTATCAGTGGTACAGTTGTTTGTGAACTGTCTCCTTTTGTTACTGTTTTGAAGTCTCCAAATATAATCTTTGGGAATTTTGTACTTTTCGTTCCCGAGATCAAATTTCTTGCGTCGATCACTTTTGTGGTTGGTTGGTATTGCGGTGATGATTTGGTTTTCTTCGTCTGCTTGTCCTTTGTTGGTGGTCGTTTGTGCCACCTCGGTCGGAGAGACTTTCTTCTCGGTCTGAAGTGTTCGTCCAATCGACCGAAACTGCACGACCGCGTGGTTTGTTTGTTTTTAGCTCGCTCGGAATGAAGCCGGCTGTGAAATTTCTCATATCTTTTCGACTCATGGTTTGGAATTTTATCGTGTTGATCGATCGCTCGTTGAACTGAAGAATTTACGACTGTGAGTGTTGACTGATTCTGAACTGAATGCAATGTTGACTGATTTTGAACAGAGTTTGAGTTAGACTGAATTCTGGTTTTAGGTAGCAATTGACCGTTGATAGAATGTTTGGAATGTTTAGTTGTTAATTGAGCGTTTGTTCTAGCAGTTAATAACCCTTTATTTTCCGCGCGTTTTTTGATCAGGTCACATGGTGCTTTGTTCTGATTGGCCAATTGATTTAGGATGACATTGTCAATCATTTCCAAGTTGTTTATGAATGTGGTAATTGCCGCAACTACAAATTCATCATCAAATTCGCGGGGGGTAAGGGTAATCCAACCGGATTTTGTGACATATAGTCTATTAATCCCATTTTATTCCCTGCGAGGTGTTTGGTGTCAAAATGAAATGGTATTAATCTATCAATCCAGCGGGTGAGACGGCTTTGACTTGTCTTTGATCGTTCGCTGGCGTTTAATGCGCTAATTAATGCTTGATGGTCAGTGATGACAGTAAAATGTTTACCGTACAAATAATATTTGAAGTCCTCGATTGCCCAAACAACTCCTAATAATTCTCACTCATTTACTGAATATTTTTCCTCAAGGGAATTTAAGAAATGTGACGAATATGCTATAGCTACCCAACCTTCTGTTGAATGTTGCTCTAAAGCTGCTCCTAAACCTGTATTAGATGCGTCACAGACGATGCGAGTTTCTAAATGTTGATCAAAATGTTTATTTTGTGTGATTTTTGCCACGAGTTGTATAATGTTTTTAAAAGCTGAGTTGTGTTCCGGTAACCAAATGATAGGTCTGTTCTTTTCAGCGTTTCTTAGTAATGGTCTCAAAGCTGCTGCTGTTTGTGCTAAATTTGGTATATATCTTGTAAGATGATGTATTGACCCCATGAAACTTTTGAGTTGTTTAAACGTTTTGGGAGGCGATAATTTTTCAATTGCCTCGGTTTTCTTAATGAGTGGTTTAGTTCCCTCACTGTTTATGGTATAGCCCAACCACTCAACTTGTTTGCATGCGAACTAACACTTGTCCAACGAAATTGCAAGATTCTCTTCGTTGAGTTTTGTTAGCACCGTCTGGAGTTTTTGTCAATGAGACTCGAGTGTTCCTTTTGTTATGATTAGAATATCGTCAAGGTATGCATATGTATTATTGCAATTTGTGAGTATCAGATCCACTGCTTTTTGGAACTCTGCCGGCATATCCGTAAGGCCGTAAAATTCTGTTTGGAATTGGTATGTTCCGGTGGCATCTCCCCCAATTAGACTGAAATTGCATTGTTCTCGTGTTGTTTTATCCAACGGGATTTGTGAATATGCGTATCGCAAATCAAGTGTTGTGAATAGTGTTTGATTTGATTTGTCGGACTTCACTACTTGTGCGATATTGTCCAGCAAGAGATCTATGTTTGGCATCTGATATTTGTTTTTGTGTATATATTTGTTAATTTTCTTCGAATCCAGTGCTAGTTTAACCGTTTGGTCCTTTTTGACCGTGATAACTATAGGACTGATAAATTGTTTGTCTGAGCACTTATCGAGTTTGATAATATGTTTTTGGTCAATCAAATTGTTTAGTTCAGCTTCAACTCTTTCTTGTAAGTGTATGGGTATGCGTCTGCCCTTTTGTTGTATTGGTTCAAAATCCTTGGTGAATTGGGTTTTCATTACGCGATGTTTGGACTTTCCGATTCGTACGCATAGTTGTTGAAATAATCTCTGACCCATTGTTTAATCTCATGGTTCGATTTCTCGCTCTGTTGTACGTTAAGCAACTTTTGAGTTGGTTTGTCCTGAATTAGTTTGATGCCGATGCGTGGTAGTAGATTCCGTCCTAATATATTGGCTTTTTGGTTGTCCACTATAATGAACGGAGCTGTTTGGACTTTCCACCCCCCAGACTCAATCGTTAGTATCAGTCTTCCTTTAGGTTGAATATATTCGCCATTATAACCCGCTAAATTTCTAGCTGTATCCTCCGGGGGAATATTTTTGAATATTGCCGATGTGTTGTTTTGTTGTAATCGTTGTGCCGTCTTTTCGTTTAGAAAGGACATTGGGCTACCTGAGTCGACAATTGCGAATAATTATGTTGTATTCGTTTTCAATTTGACAATGTGTCCATTCAAATTGTCTTCTGATATTGTTTTTGTGACCTAAATCTCAAATGATTCTGAAATTGCCATTACCGAGAAATCGTCTACTTGGTAATTTTCCCAACCATTGTTTGTGGTGAACTCTGCGTAAGCCACCGGCTCGGTATACGTCCCCGTGCTCTCTATTTTTGTTTCTTCTTGTTGTTCCTCATTTATGTTGCCGAGATAATTGACGTTTGTGGAACGACAAACTTTTGCAAAATTTCCACATTTTGCGCATTTAGAGCAAATTTTGTCTTTGGCCGGACAAGATTGTAGGTGATTTGGACCATATTGGTTTCCACATTTGAAACATTGTTTGGGATTTGTGTTTCGGTGTTGTTGTTGATATTGTTGACCCCTTGTGTTTTGTGATCCACGTGGATATGTTCGACCGCGAAAATTTCCCCGGCCTCGTTGATTATTTTGGTTATATTGTTGGTTTTGTCTGCCACGTGTATTGACATAATGTTTTGGTTCTTGTTTTGGGGTCGTAACTGTTTGCCCTCCGATCGGATTTATTTTCATTGTGCGGCTGTGTTCAATTCCTTTTTTGCGTCGGATCGCGTATTCATAAGCCTCCTGCGGCGTACGTGTTTGGACTAACAGTTCCTCTGCAATTTTTTCATTGTTCATGTGAGCGGTAAACATGTCCCTTACCCACTCACTTTCTCGGTCGCCGCAATCAGCCTGCGAGGCTAGTTCGACTAGGTCAGCGTGGAACTGTTCTAAACTCTCCGTTTCCTTTTGTTTTCGACAAATGAAATTATACCTTTCAAACGCTATTATCCGTGTCATGACGAATATTTCTTCCAAAACAGTCATGAATTGTTGTGTAGACACCGTATGTAATTGCATATTCGGTCGTTTTTGTTGTATTTGATGTTGTCTTTCGGCGCCGAGGCACAAGAAGAGGTAGCTGCGTACTTTTGCGTCTGCTTCATCCCATCTGAATGAATTACACAGTACCCCTCTTTCCCGCGCTTTTATCACGTGGTTCTCCCAACCCACTCTTTTTTCTTGGTTGCACACCTCTCGGTTTTTCCGTTGAGCATCTGCTTCGCCAGTGATTTCAATCTCGTATACTGGCTCAGCTGGTTCAACGAGTGTTGGGCGTGCTCGTAATAGATTTCTAATTTCGATACCGTCTTTAGCGAAAACTGCCATTTCCAATATGGCCGCCCATTTTGTCCGCTCTAGTAGAGGTTCAGCCGATGCTCGTTCCCAAAAAGGATTTATGTTAAGTGGATTCTTCGAAAATTCTGGTGGCTGCGCCATGTCATACCGTCAACTCCTCGAGGTATGAACAGTTGGTTATTGAATCCGTATGGATAGATAATATCAAACTGAGAGAGATAAGTTAAAACAACTTGTTTTCGTAAGCGTTAATTATTCTCTGAACCGTAGTTCTCTTCAGACACAGTTCTCGTCCTTGCATCAAGGTCAATCGACCAGTACACATTAATGTTATATAATATCAAAACATAAATGGTATATAAATAAATAATAAGTTTTGTAGGGAGTTTTATCTATCCACGCCGGATGACAGATGCCATTCCATAATTCTCAATTCCATAATTCTCGTTTTTTTGCGGGGTCAGTATAGGGCTCATATAGTTTTGCTCGTGAACGCTTCTCATAAACAAATCAATCTAAAATTAATTTGTAGTATACCTCTTGGTGTTGTGTCCCCAATAGCCCTTCTCGCCCCTGCTTTTGGACACGGTGGAATTGCGTTTGTTCCTACCCTGATAATGATTTTTCTTCTTCAGCAGACTCTGACGCTGGTCGGACTCTGACTCATCGGCTTCCTCTTCTTCGGAGATCTCGTCTGTGGAAGCAGCGGGCGGCAGACAACTTCCCTCGTATTGAGCCACTTCAACCACGGATCTGGATGGAATTAAATTCGAAAGATTTATTGTATATTTTATCGGGTTTGACCAGTTAGAACCTCATTATGAGAAAAATATGTTAGTCAGCCAAAACACAGTGTTAAGAAATTTGCACATAATTTTCCGACCAAACTGATATACAAAAAAAAACTTAAAATTTTAACAAATTTTTTGAAAACACCGATTTTGTTTTTCTTTTTCTGCATTTTCTTTTTCTTAAAAGTGCCATTGAGGTAGAAAAAATGCAAGAAATATCTGAAACTATAGTTAAGTTATTGTTTCAATTGGTAGGCCAGTCTTTCGCCAGGCCTGTTTTTTTTTCTCGGCAATGAGAGAACTTTTTTGAATTTTGTTAAGAATCCAAATATGACCAAACGGCATGAGTATGATACCACAATTCACCCTCTACGAGTTTTCTTTGAGGTATTCAAATTTGAGTGGAAAGACAGAACAAATCCAAAGTTCTTGGTCGGAACAATCGCACTATGCACTCAAGGATAGATATGGATATGTTTTTAAGCTTAAGTGGGTGGATTTTTACACTACCGCGAACTTGACCAGAATTGTTTTGAAAACTTTCATTCATCACTTGCATGGCGTTTTTAAGGGACGTATCTTCTTTTTGTTGTGTTGTTGCATTGTAAATTCGGTAACCGTGGTTTCTGCCTGTCTTACTAATGGATCTGCTCTCATCATCTAATCGTACTCTGCTGGCCCACTCGTCACTGTTCTGCCCCCCAAACGCAACGCCGCCCGAGTCTCCATTTCTCACTTCCGAAGTTGACTTGGTCCCATATGAACTCAGTTGCCCTCTCTCGTTTACGCTTGAAGGCGTTTCTGCCCATTTGATCTGATGTCTGCTCGATACAGCGATGCGATTTTTTGTACTATATTTTAAATGTAAAAACTGGGTAAATAGGTCTGACCTCAAGGCTTATTTTTAAAAGCTGAAATGTTTCATCACTATGAGCTCATGTAATGCTATTCGTCAATGCTAATATGAATCCAATCACTTCAAAAAATGTCTCGAGATACACGTACTCGGAAAAAAGAGCGAATTCCTCATATCAGCGATGAAAGTTTTTTCACTTAAAAAAATTTGAACAGTTGATTGACATGCTTTAAAGTGGATCATCTATTTTCGACAAGATGAAAAAATTCATTTAAATTTTTTTAATTTTCATAAAATACTGAGTTCAAAATCAGTTTTGGTCTGATTTATTTTTGGCAATGATAACTGTGTCACATCAACCGGCTATCAATCAACCGTTCTGGTTATTCAAAATAGTAGGTTTTAAAGTTACCAGTACTGTTTGAAATCTTATAGGAATTTTGATGCTGCATAGCTTACTAAATTAAGTTCAAGTAATAAAATAGTTGAACATAGTTTTTTTAGTTTGAGTTCGAAGATACAGCCTAATTATTCATTAAAGATCTAAAATTTGAACGATGAGTAAGGAAAACGTGCGCATCACTGTCTGCGCGAGAGTCCATGCTGACTGCTTTTGAACTCCACTTCCCCTTCCCCCTTTCTTTTTCCAATACTACTCCCTTTCTGTCTATTGCTGGCAGCACTAGTAGCAGTGCATGTGACAAGGAGTCCAGTAGAGGCGTCCCTCTGTCGTACTGTTACCTGTGTTATGCAACGAACAGACATAGGGGGTGTTATGCAACGAACATAACTGTTACCTGTGTTATGCAACGAACAGATATGAGTTAAGAGGGGTCTAAGCACAATGGTTGCCGATTTAACCTACGTTTTTATTACCATTTCAAACTTAGGTGAAAGAAGTTCAAAGCCATTGTTCTGCTTTCTTCGTTAATGGGTTTTGGGCGTAAATATTGGTTGTTATTGGAAATCTCTGTGCTGGAATGTTTTCTTTTTGAGTCCACAAGTTATTTTAACTCACGAAATCATTTTTTTCTTCGTGTTGGGTATTAAAATACTATAAGATTTTCTTAATCCGTTTTTTCACTGTGGATGCCTTTGTTAGGTCTACGATTATTTCGCCCCTTAAATTTAAAAGGGGCAAAAACTCAAACAAGAGAAACGTGTCACCTTCCTATAGTTGAGTTTGTTTTAACCTGGCGGGTGTTTGGTCTCTCTTCCACGTGAGTGTCTGAATCATCTCCATTCCCCCTGCCCCCACCACACCCACCCAAATTCCCCCCACACAGCAGAATACGCCTCCACGCAGGTATCTTCATGTCCTCTTTCCTCCAGTCCGCGCGGTCATGGTTGTCATGGTGAATTCTTTCCATATTTTTATAGTCAATCAATCAGAAGTTAATAATCAACGAAAAATTATAATTCAATGCCAATAAGAGTTCGCTCGGTAAGATTGTGTAAAAAGATGTCTCTAAGTCATTAATACCGTCGATAAGAGTTAGAGGCTCTCGTTATAAGTATAAAGAAACCATTGTTGGTGTGCTTTTGCTTGTTTCCACACGAATATTGCTCTAGTATTTGGTTTTTGATCACATCTGATTTTCTAACTAGTTTTTGGCAGATGGTGTATTTGCTCTTCTTGCAGTGCCTTTTCCTTTGTTTTTCTCCTGTTTCCTAGTACTGCCTGTTTTTGGTTGCTGTGGCTGTGAATTGTGGAGTTTTCTCTAATTTGCTGGCGACTAACCTGTCCAGCTGTAATACGCTGATAACAGACTTTGATTCAAACTTGATAGGATATGCGTTTAACGGACATGTATCTAGAATTTCTTTTAGTTTTTGGATGTAAAAATTTTGGCAATTTGATAATATCGCAGTTTAAAGTTTGACCTGACTAAAAGAACTGATCAAGAAATCTCAGCGGTGAGTTTTGTTAGCACTGTAAATTTTCAAATTTTCTTCTTGTCAGTAAACCGGTTAACGAGGTTTCTAAACTAAAACGCAGAGGTACTAATTGGTAGAATTGTTCTTCATCAATAGCTCTCAAAGTTGATTAGCGCTTCTAATGAGCAATTCATTTGCCATGTTCTTGCATAGTTCTTTTTAAATAAAAATATATTTGCTCGCATTGTTTAATTTGATTTGTTTCATTAGAGATGTTTCATTTGAATAGAAGGGTAGACTTTTAGTGGACCAACAGGTCCCGTTGTCTATCCGTTCCTGCTTTAAATGTGGCAAATTTAATTATGCTGATATATGGTTTATAAAAGGAAAAATATATTCTTTCTTTCTTTCTTTAAACGTGTCTCAACTTCATAGTTTTTGATTTGGCTTCATTTTTTTTTCACCTGTGAGAGGATCTTCGATTTTGACGAGGGGCGGATCTTTAGGAACTATCAAAAATTTACTCTTTCTAGGCCAAATATCAAAGATGCTTTTTAAGGATCAATTGGTCGAAAAATTTCTATCATAAAACAGCACCCAATCGAGTGGCGAGGGGTTGAATTGGGACAAGCGAGGCGATCACCTTAAATATGTTCCTGATTTCATAGATAGCAGGCTTTAGAATGGTGAAATTTTAGTTCTGAAAGACACATTTATCAGAAAGACCCCGTTGTTTATATCAAGTACATTTTCGGCATTCGAATTTCCGTTTTTTAAGAGGTCATTATACCTTTGGAGATATTCGGCAATTTTCTTCCAAATTCATTACATCAATTAAAACCAGGATTAACAATCGTAGAAAAAAAATTCAAAAAGGCAAAATAAAGATGCTACATTTTAATTCAGCGTTTTTAGTAAGCTATTGACTGTGTCTGCTCCATTTTGTTCATTGCGGCTAAATGAAATTTCGAAGCTTAAAAAAATTAGTTTCGACTTCCATAGCGGAAAAAACGAGTAATTACGAACCTTAAAATTTTCTAGTAAAATGCGTATCCTGCCGCAACTGAGAGTTGTCCAGGAATGAAAGGACCTGTTATGAGGCCAAGGAGTCTTATTAATCATTATCATAAGATGTTCTTGTGTATCAACGTATTGATGAGCTTCAGATAAAAATGAGAGCTGAGTTTGAAAACCAAGATCTCTCTGCAGACGTGAACAGCTCACAGAAACTGTCTGGGGCTAAACGGAAGGGAGACCAGAGTGAGCAAGATTCTTGTTCTAACAAATTCAGGACCACGGAGACATCTACTGCGAGGAGAGAGCAGAGCATTAAACAGTCTTTTGGAATCGTAGACAAAAGAGAAAGCAGTGCGACTTCCCAAAATATGTCACAGTTAATGAAACGTAAGGTCTTTATTGGTGTCATCAAGAATACACGGAAATAGTTGTTGTTTACTTTTTGAACGTAGTGAGGACTCTTATATAGGTTTTACTGATTTTTTTTGTTTTTTTTTTCAGGAAAAAGTCTTAAAGTTTGTTCACGCTCAATTTTGATTTTTCGCGGTTTGACTTGTGATTTTTTATGATCAGTGCATTTTCATTGTTAAAAGGAAGGCAAAATCCACTATTGAACAGCAAAAATGTAAAGGTCACGAAAAGCGAGATCGACTTCAAATTTCGAAAATGGAAATTAGTTATCAGATATCCCAGTGAAATAAAAGTTTTGCCTATTGATCCAGTTTTCTCAAGTTGAGTTAATTTGAACAAAAAGGAAAGTGTCCATCATAAATTTTTCTACAAATTCAAAGTGCTTTAAGTCCATCTATTTTTTCTTCGAAGTTCAAAAGTTGAAGGATTTTGAAAAAAGTCAGTTTTTGTTTCAATTTTATTGCATTCATTACTCTTTTCCAACTTCCAGTTAACAACCTTGTTAACAATCTAGCTCAGATAAACCTAGCCTTTCAATGAAATGTATGTGAAAGCTTGATAGGATCTGAAAATTAGTTTTAAAAAGCTACAATTGTCTTTCATAGATGTGCCCATTAAGTGTTACATTACGTTTTTGAAAATGTCGATTAAAATATATTAGCTTCGAAAACCAGTTTTCAATCGATGTAGTCATTAACTTTATTAAGTAATGTAACTTAAACAAATATCTGAACTGACTTTTTTTATTGCAGAAGTGCAGTCCACATACAGAATGGATTTTCCGCCTGACTTCGAGCAGCTGTGGCGCTTCTGCTGCTCCATGTGTCCGTCGTGTCCTAAAAAGGCGCTGTTGGACCCCCTTGGGTTTGTTCTCTGTGGCCCATTCGACCTTCTTGATGGAAAAACAATAACAGATCCCTTACTCCACTGCAGGTTTGTTCATGCTCTACTTCCAACTGATTTAATTTTTGTTTCATTTTGTCGATTTAGGTTGATTTTGCAATGACATTTTTCTTTCACTTGAAGGTTTTGTCTGCTCACAACTTTGCCGATTGAAACGTCAAGTTTTCAGCGACAGCTAATGTGATGCATATAGCCTAATAAGAGTCCGTGAACTTAGTGAAGACCCTTATATAGGTCTTGGTGATTTTTTTCTTCCGGAATAGTCTTAAAATGCTCTAATAACTACAGATATGCATTCATACATATTAATGCATCTATGAATGCACTAAGGTGCATATGCACTTTGTTAGTTCAATTATTACACTTGTTAGATTTTTTGTTTTCCACGCTAAATAGCTACCACAAATAATCATCACTATGTGTCAAAATGAGTGTTAAATCATATAAAAGCCTTTAGTTCATGATTCAAATGCCAGTAACAAATCTAAAATTTGGCCCAGTGTCGAAAAAAATATAGAGCGAGTAAAGCGAGCGAGCAGGCTTTTTTGAAGCATAACCCGTGAAGTTTCACTTTTTCTACCGTCGGTAAATACGTTCGGATCTCTTCAGCTCATTTTTTCTTTGCTTAAAATCCAAACAACTTCGTTTCAGTTAATGTCTGTGTTATGATATCTGTACTCCGCTATGGCCAGCTTAAAATTTGTATCTTACTAAACTGAAGTGTTTAATTCATGAAAAAGTTAAACTTTATATCATGAACGGATTGAGCAATGATTTTTTTTGGTTAATAATATTCCTTTGCTTAATTGAGTTTCTCTAAAATGTGGCAAGACAGTAAACCAGTCCGACTAACTGGCGACACTTTTATTTTGAATATCCAGGCCAAAAGTAACAGAAAAAAATGAGTCCAATCTTAAAAGAATTATTTAAATCAGAAGGATATTTAAATTGTTAGGAAACTAAGTTAAACTATAAGTTAGTGTAGTATTTGCAATACTACAATAGAGGTTTGATTAAAATATATATTTAGTTTTGAGACACATTAGTTTGAAAGAAATTTTGGTCGTAATGTTATGATGAGATGTGAGAGAGATATAAGCTGACACTGAAACTCCAGGTGTAGAAAGAAACTGGAGGAACTTTTGTTTTTGAAAGTTAGTTTTACTCTGCTACTAAGAATTTTATGCCACTTGAATATTTTTTTAATGCAGATATCACTTGGACCCTCCTGAGTTCCAGACAGTGCTCAAAATTTCTTCAAGTTCAGACCAAATGCATTTCGGCTACTTCAGAGATGACCCTAACAAGCTGCCAGCGTTTGTGGCCTCCGCCAAACCTGTCAAAGACTGTGTTTTGAGATACAGTGCCGATAACTTACTTGAATTGGTGTACAAAGAATTGAACTCTAGAATCTCGAAGCAAAGTGCAAGCAACAGCGTTTCGAGCGAAAGTTTACTACTTAAATTGAAAGAAAAGTTGGAAGTTTTTGTGTCGAAATGTGACCCTGTAGTTAGTTTGAACTGCAGAGAAAAGAATTTGAAAGATCGCAAACGAAAGTCACAAGGAACAACGTTTCATAAGTTGGGAATATCTGTTCACGTTAAAAACGACATTGGCTACAGACCAATCCATCACGAAGACGCAGCATTACGTAAACTAATGCAAAAAGTGGCGCAATGCGAGTCGCAGCCGGATCGAGTGGCGGCTTTTGGTCCTCTACACGAGCAGATCACTTTCGTACAGTTTGCGAATGACGAGTCGGATTTTGGAATGGGATTGGAACTGGGACTTGACTTCTTCTTGCACGGTGCTGAGTGTTTTCACAAGGCGGCTGCAAAGTTGCTCCCAACAGCCTATAAGTTTCTGAAACGCGATTTGTATGCGGAGATCATTGAGAAGCATCTGGCTAATCGCGAGAAGGATCAAGAAAAGATAGACTTTTCGATTTAGTTGGAACACTAATGCCTACATTGACTTGAAATTGCATTCTAATTTATCATTATTGATTATCTGCTTTTTTGCTAAAATTTACTTTTCAATAGATAATATTTTTGAAGTGTTTTCTAAAGCTGTTTTTATTTTGATCTTATAACATTGTGCATCGAGAGAAATTTTTTGTTGGACATGATTCGCAGGCAGTTGTCATGTGTAGTCTTCGATGAAAAATAGTGTTTGTTTCAATTCGTGCTGACTGTGTTTGATTTGGATATTTATGTAGAGATCAAGAATTTTGCGTGTGAAAAATGCATGTGCATGTTTTCAGAGCACAAAATTAGAAGCTTTATGCACAAGGGATGTGTATTCATGGTTTTGTGCACCGTCTGAGCTATTAGTATCTATTTACACAATCGCAGGGTAGTGTGATGGTACGATGCAATTTTTTCCAACTTAAGTCGCAAATGAGTATCAACTTTTTCGAGATTGTTAACAGCAGAAGTTATTTTATTCGCAGCTGTTGTTTTTTTGTTGCTCTATGGTTATAGGAGAGAACAACTGGAAACGTAGGAAATGGCGAACCCAATCGAAGTGATGTAAAAAACAATTAGGTTTGACTTTTTGCGGTGTTTTTTTAACCGAAATCCTTTTAAGATTGGCTCAAAGTTGAACCTAATTTTCCGTAAAAGTTGACGAATTTTAGTCCTTTTAGTTTACTTTCGTAAGCAAGTCTATGCCGTAGAGTTGTACAATTTTAGTTAAAATTGAAGACCATTCTGGTTTTTATTTACTCGAATTGCGACCTCGGAATATTTGAGTGACTACAAAAGTTACCGAGAGTATATCTTGCCTAAATTCGTCTAATTCAAATATGTATATCAAAGTAACTGAGAGCTATAAACATTTACTCTACTTGTTCATTTTAATTTGGATGTATTCTCGGACTTCATCCCGAATTTTTTCTCAAAACCAGAAGAAGTGTTCTGGGAATCTGCTCTCTAACAGCGGGAGTTATTTCGTAATCAATGGTGTTCCCAGTGTGTCTCGTGACTATTTTGTATTAGTTACTCTGCAGAGTGGGACGAACAAGACGGAGTGTGGGGGCACTATTATCGCGCCAAGATGGGTGATCACAGCTGCCCATTGTCTCGTGAATTTTAAAAGTGTGAAGACGGGACTAAGTTGAGTTAATTTCCTGCAGAGCCTCGAATGCTCAAAAATTAGCCTATCGTCAAAATTGAAAATACTTACCACTGAATGAACAGTTTGATTTCCGAGACAGCATCGACGCTAGTTTTTTTATAATTGAAAATTTGTATGGGGTTCAAGTGACGTCAAAAAATTGTGAAACTGGGCAATTAGTGTAGTGTCAAACCCGATTGGTTCGAAACATTTTTTTAATTGAGGGGAACAGATACCTTGGAAACCAATGATTTTATTCGAGCAATAACTGTGTTTACGATGAAAAGCGATTTTCACAGAATTTACCGGTGACTAATCTGGTTTTTGGTCAATTTCCCACATTTTTTTAATGCTTGAATGAATCAGGCTATAGACATTTGAGAATATTGCTGGCGTTGTATTTTTTTCTGCGGAATTTGTTGGTTTGAAAATGAGTCGAACGATTTTCCGATTTCAAAGGTTAAGAAATTAAAAACCGGAAAACATGGCTCAACTCTGAAAACTTTTTTGACCTTTTAACCCTTTCTGTTTAGTGATATATTTCCTGAGTCTGTGCTTTTTCTCTGCTTCATGAGCTGTGCGTTTGAAGCTGTTTTGTTCATGTCTAGGCGATGACGGCGTAATGGAGAGTGGTGATTTTTCGAGACCATCCTCTTACAAGTTCAAAACTGGTTTCAAGCGATGGTTCGTTGCACCCGGGTAAGACGCATATTTGTGTATTTCAATGAATTTCATTTTTCATGTTTTTAAGGTTTTTTGGAACGGAGGTCATGAACTTTTCAAAGACAAAAGTGTATCGCTAAAAACCTCACTGTCACTGCAATAGTTTTGTATGGCCCTTTTTGCAACTAGTTAATATACTCGAATGAAGTTTCAAACTATTTACCGTGCGATTGGGCTAGCTATTCTATTTTGACTTTTTTTCGCAAAAGCAACTTTGCTAACAGAACTTAAACATGAGTTCTCTGATGTGCAGTATAAATCAAGTGACAATTCATTCAGATGAAACGCCCGTGCTTGGGAAGATAATGGCGCTGAACACAATTCTGGCCGGAAAATATATTTTTTTTCAAATTCAAAAAAAAATTTTTTGGAAAAACGTAATTATCAGGTTATTTTCCGATTTAGATGAAATTTACTATGATTGAAGTTCATAAAAATTTTTTTTCTATCACAGTAAAAGTTTCACTTCTCTCGCTAAAAAAATGCTTCTCACTGTAAAAATTTCACTTCTCCCGCTGTAAAAACTTCCTCTCGCTTTAAAAATTTCACGGGAGTAAAGAATTTTGCCTTCTGTTGCTTCATAATACGTCGTTTGAAGAGCGAAATTGCTTCATAAATCGTCGGTTGAAGGGCGGAAACTTTTTTCGCAACCCCCTGTTTTGATGGGGGCTCGAAGTCTTATATCATTTTCATGAAAATGAAAATTCGCATTTTCATCCGCGCATCGGGCGTCTCTCTCAACCAGGCCGGATTTTGACGCGATAAAAAGAAAAAAGAAAAATATGTAATTGAAGTTGCGTTGTTCCAATTCGGTTTGACTTCAGACAAAAAAAAGAAAGAGACCAAAGTTGCTTTGAGTTTAGCAGACTTAATATTGTGCATTTTTTAAATTTGAGCCTTTTTTTACCCCTAAAATGGTCATTTTTTTGTAATCACTCAGAAATTAGCCAAAAATATCAGTTTAGTTGCTGACAGAACTATATGATCACTATAGGTAGTTATAGAGCCCAGATGTGCCCTCTTTAAGTGATAAACTCGACAGACAGCATAATTTGTCTCTAAAGGCACAATATCAACCTCCCCAGATCAGGGAGCGCCGATTGCTTGCAATGCCTGCGTTTTTCAGCTGGGAGTCTCTGAAGTCGCCCAGGCTGCTCCTTCTACTAATACTAATTCTCCTCTTCTGTTCCGGAATTTATCCCAATCCATATGTTTTCATCGAAATAAGTTTTCTTTATACCGGAAAACTTAAAGCGACAACACAGTTTTTCTCATCTCTTTCAAGTAATTTTTTAAATGATTGGTTTCTCCTGTTTCTGCCCTATTGATCATGTTTCGAAATTATATTAGGAAAGTTCTGTGTGTCGAGAAAACAGTTTCTGAATTTTTTTTATAATACTACTCATGCAAACTTTTTTTTCACTTAATTCAATAGTTTTTTCTGGGAAAAAAAACAGAAAAATTTGGACGAAAAATGAGCTCAAAAAATTTTAAAAATATTATTTCAACTATTTCTCGACTGTTATTTTTTGTGTTTTGATCAGGGTGACCACTTGGTCCTTATTTTAGTGACCAGTCACTATTGGTCACTAATTGGTCACTATTTTTTCAATGGTCACTAAAAGTCACTATTTACAACTGTTTTTGGTGACGGACCCTACAACTTTTCTGCACCAATACATACTAACCAGACGGACCCTTCGGCACCAATGGTCCGTCCTGACGGACCCTTCGGTTCCAACATATTATTGAGGGGGGAGCGCGCGCCGAAAAAACGCAATTTCAATAATCTTTCAAAAAGTGCCTGAACAATTTTTTAGCCGGTTTGTTCAAAATTATGCCTGTGGTGCAGTAATTTTGGCCATAACAGGGACTTTTTAGTGCTTTGGCAGAGCTTGAAAAATTAATTTGGTCGTCCTAAAAAAAATGGTCGACAAAAAATTCGAAAATTGTCATAGTCACTAGTTTTTCTCTCAAAAAAAAGGTAAAAAGGTCACTCTGGTTATGATTTTGTTGCAGGAAAACAGTGTGGTCTAATTTTGTGCTAATTTGAAGGCAACGGTTTGTCTTTGTCTAATTTCAAAATTTTCATTAATTTTCGACAGAAAACTTTGAAAGTCTACAGACTAGTCTTTGCATTTGTGAAGTGTTCGTAAAGTTATATTGATATTTAAATTGAAACAATTGGTTTTGAGAGTACTTCTTAACTGAGCAGCTTGAAAACTTTCACCTTAATACGCCTGTTGACATGTTTATTGCTTGCTGAAAGTGGAGCGTGTGCTTTAGCTTTTTTTTTTCATGCGAAATCGGGTACTGCAAATACTCATCAAAATTGGTTGAGTGATATATCACAATGAAGCCCTTTCAAATTCGTTTGAAACAACATACAGAAATTTTGTCGGCCTTGAGTACAACCAGTCTGCAACTTTGACTTTTACTCTAATATCGAGCGAATAAAGCGGACGAGCAGGCTTATATTATGAGGAAAAGCTTTTGTTCAAGCACAAACTTAGTTTTATTCCAGTAAAACTTTTCGATTATTTCCAACTCTGTTTTCATTGGATAATTTTGAACCTTTTAAAATGTGCAAAACTTTTAGAAACATTTAATTTTTTTAAATGTTATTTTGCTTTTTTTTTTTACAGTAAACTGTTGTCGAATATGCCTAAATTACTATGATTATCGACTATTTCCTAATTCTAGGTTTTCATTCAGATCCTCCCATCACACAACACCCGACATGTTTTTTTATTTTGTGGTCAGAACTTTTTGCGTTACTAGCACAGCGGCCGGCTGTCATTGTTGTGCAATAATTTTTTGAGAAACTATTTTTTGCTGCTATTGGTCAGCTAAACACTTTGAAGATTCAAGACGAGCTCAAAAGCAGAGAACGGTTACAACACTAGCCGGTTCCTGTGCACAGAGTCTAAGTGTGAACATTTTTTTCCAATAGTTTTTTTTTCTACTTTGTGGTTTCGTATCGTTTTCTTTCCGCTAAATTGCAATGCTATGCTTGCGTTGTATTTCTACTGTTGCAAAACTACGCTAAATTTTGTATTTCAACTTTTTTCTATTTCAGATACTGGAGAGCTCGATTCGATGGCAATGAAAAACCGAAAAAAGCCAGTGGAAAAGACCTGGGCATACTTTCTAACAATACCAGCTCTTTATTTTAGTTAACGCCATTTTATTATAATGTCTTTTTTCTCAA